AGATAACCCTAAAATAATAACCAATAGAACTACAAAATATTGTGATGAAAATGTACCCACTCCTAGCCATTTGATGAAGGAAAAGCGTTTTGCAACGAATAGAAAATACCTTCAACCTCTTTATTCTCCTAATGTGTTTGTAAAGTTTCACAGTTATTAAAAAAAGAAGCTGAACTTCTGATTTACGAATAAATCACATTTTTATGGCACAGAGATGTGAAAGAAATCCAAGCTCTTCAATAACATTTTATTTAATTTCCACATTCTTAAAAAAACTGATTTGCCAGCAAGAATTACAGTATATTTAAATATGTCATAAAATACTTGGCATATCTTCTCTTTTATGCATGAAGCATCTACTTTATTTTATAGGCGACTTCAACATGGTCACTATTAAAACAAGGGAAGCCCTCATGCCACCCGGCTATAATTATATATTGTTTAACAACAAGGAACATTTTAATGCACCATTTAGTTTGTTCTCTTCCAGCCTCTGTGTCCTTAAGGGATGAGGAGCAGATGGCTCTCAGCTCTTTATAAGAAAAACAGCTTTTATGAGTTTCAGCCCTTAAAGCCTCAAGACATCTGCACATTTATGAATAAGTTTCAGGTTCAGAAATAAGAGGAAAATGCACCCTCTGTTACCTCCCTGTCCTTTGTCTACATTTCAAGGAGAGTTTAGAGTAGATTTCTGAAATATAAGCATTTAAGTATTTCTAACAGACCCCTTGGTTCTTAGAAGTTAGCATCTCTTCATAGAGCATTCGATTAAACCCAAGTTCTCACCTTTCAGCCTTGTTTTCATGCTGTTCATTCAAAAAGCTAATATCAAGTTTGTGGCCCACAAACACTGAACTAAAACGCTGTAATTTTAAACCGAGTTCAGTTTGCAGACTTCTTCTTACAATACATCACCAAACTGGCAACTTTAAAGGCACCAGCAGGAATAATGGCGCCTCCTGTTTGTTTCTGCTGAGTTGCCTTTCTGCTTCTGGTTTTAAATCAAACGGCTAAGTCAGTGCAAACGTGTTTCTCCACAGCTTCTTACTGCAAACTTCAACTACAAAGGAGAGAAATCCTAATCCTGCTTCCGCTGTTCTTTAAAGAAACAACAGCTCTACACAGTTAATCAGAAACATCCATTAAAAAGTGATAGAAAATGTGAATTTGCTTTTTGTCTGGGGAGTTGTTGTTCACTTTAAGACATCTAGAGGGTTTTAGAGTTGATCAAATGGGATCACAAAACCTCACTTTGTTTGTTTAGGACAAGATGTTTTCAGTCATAAAGGTAAAAATATCACATTTGGACAAGAGATCCGTAAAGTTTATTTTTTTCCAAACCTGTTCTTGATTATTAAATTAGGATGCATTGACCAGTTATGAGATGTAGCTAACAAGTTAAGCACAAACACAAACAAATCCAAAGCTAGTTTTAGGCAAAGGTGATGAAAATTCACATTTTTTCAGGTCCTAGTCAAATCCCAAGTCCTTGAGGAGCAACTTCACTTATCCAATGGCTGAATTAAACATTTTCCCATCAAATGAATGACTGGAGGCTGTTTTTCCCCCCCGTCAGTCTGAGCTGGAGAATTAAAAAAAATATTGGAAAACCACATAAATCCACATTTAAAGGCTTTATTTTAATTTCCAAAAAGTACATATATTTTTCAAATAAATTACAACATAATAAAGAAGCAAGTGTAGCAGGTAAATAATCACTGTGGAACAGGAAGTGCTTTTATTTTGATATTTCCAACCAGCTTTTAATGATGCAGCTAGCTGAAGAGTGAGAGAACGGTGGAGTTAGATTACATTTTTACTCTAAAATGAACCAGTCATTTATTATAAAGTGTAACCCTGACTTTAATAAGTCAGTTGATCATATTCAGTTAGAAGAAAAGTTGATTAGATCATTTTAAAACATTACTTTAGTTTTAATCGATTCCGTAGCCTAAATGATCTTTCTGATGGACGGATGAGCAGCAAAAGTCTCAAGGTTGGAAAATAAATCCTAAACTGCTGCACTGAAGATTCATAACGGGTGTTCAAAATGCAGCCTGGGGGCCATTTGTGGCCCTCAGAGTGAATTTGTGCGGCCCTTCGCTACAGAATAAAAACGGCTCTGGTTTGGTTTGTCAACTCAGGAAGTTGATGCAAAAACATTTAGAAATAATTAAGGGCAACTTTTCACTGTGGCAGCAGACAAATTTATGTCTTGTAAAAATGAAAATCCAGCCATGTTTGATAGAAAAATAGGATCACCAACTGAAAGTTTTTCAAGATAAAAAAAACATTTAGGACATTGCTTGCATTGTTTTTTGTTGTTTTTAAGAAGAAAAATCTGCAAGATTTACAATAATTATCAGGTTTTTCTGCAGAAATCCGACATCTTGTGAAATATTGTGTGTGAAATAATTAACAAAAGACAATGTTTGTAATTTTTTATCAAAATTTTGTTGCAACTAGTTTGGACACTGATAACCTCTGCAGATGAGGCGCACATGTATCGCTTGACCAAAAACATAACATTTAATCAAGAATCTGACTAAATAAATGGCTAAAATTATTTAAAAAAAGAATTAGAGAATGGGAAACCAAATCCATCAAAGCATGTTTGTGTGAAAGATGAAAAAACATCTGAAAAGAAAGAAAGTTTAAATCTGATAAAATGGGCTAAAAAAGCTGAACTTGACCTGAAACAATGTCATACTTTCCACTTCCTGCGCTTAATAACAACGATAACTGACTCACTAAAACAATATTAAAGTTTATCTTTTGTGCGCAATGGGAAAAAAATGTTTTCCAGTTAAGTTAATTGGTTTAAAACTATGTAAAATACACAAGCAGGCACAATGAGCATAACAAACAGAAACTCATAATTTAAAGCCTCCATCAAAAATAATACAGGAGATTTTATACGGAATAACTGCAACTTGAGGAGGCGTGTGTTTTCTAATTAATACACTCTTATTTCTTTGACTGAACAGCCAATATAAAGTCCCAGAGGAGAAACCCTGGCTTCAGATGTAATTAGTTTTATCCTCCATTAAAACTATAAACAGACGGTGAAGGGCATCACTTTTCTCTGGCTGCCCTGGAAAAGTTTCATGTTCACTTTGTTAACTCTGAATAAATTTATCTTAGAAAATAATCAGTCAGAATCAGAGTTATAATAGTTCAGTATAGTTTTTATTAGTAAAATATTGTTTAGTTTTACTTCAGTTTTATTTAGTTATAGAAATAGTTTTAGTTTTTTTATACTTTCCTTTTGGGTGGAAAATTTAAAAAAGTCAAATTATTGATTATACATTAATTAGGTGATGAATACTGAATATTTTTTTTATTTAATTATTGTGGACCAACCAACTGTTGCCGTTTTCTCCCGACTTTTGCCGTCGCCACTTTGTCTACTAGCGTAGCCGCTAGGATGATTACGGAGTGACGTAATTTGCCGACAGCTGACGAAAACTGTCAAACTAAATTGAAAACATAAACTCAAAAGGCTAAAAAATATAATAATAAACACAAAAACAAAGTATGTCACATCTATATTTTCAGTATGATTTAGTTCCTGTTAGTTATAGTTTTTCCACATTAATTACTTCTTTTTTATGAAAATGTTTTCCCAATTTCAGTTATTTTGCTGGTTTTAGATAACCTCGGTCGGAACAGGTGAAATATAATTTTTTTTTTTACCAGTTGCTGATCCTGGGGTCCCCAGCCTGCGAACTGCAGCTGAGCATTTCGGACCTCCGGAGGATTCAGGTTCCAGGTTTCTCTGGGGGGGAAACAGACGGGGAGAAGCTAAGTGAAGACGCCTGAACACAAACACAATGACTTTCAGCTCCCAGCGCTGCAGCAGCATCAGCAGAACAAGTGTGGAACATCTTCGAACAAAGGTTCAAGTGTCTCCATAAATAGCCACAGTGTGTAAGGGTGTCACCTCTCCTTATTGGGAACAGTGCTGTGCGGTGCAGGCGGCTGAATTAGAGGTGCTGCTGACGTTTTGTCTTTGTCTGGTGCTGACGATGAATGAGGTCAGCCACTGAGATGTGAATGTGGCTTTAAAGAGGACGACACCACTGGGTGGCAGCACATTATATCATATATATAAACAGATACAATGCTGCCATGCTGGGACCTGCAGCTCAGATAAATCAAAGGGGGAAAACAAGCATCAACTTTGGGATATAAATTCAGATATGTGGGAAAAGACTTCAAAAAGCAACAACCTCCCTGGGTTAAAAATCCCATCATTGAGATCTGAAAGTGATTCATCTGTCTGTAAGCTTTGAGCTTTTACTGTGGGATGCCAAAGCTGTAGCATGACAGTATTTTCCATTTTCTTCTTATGTGCATCCATGAATGACAAAATGAAAAAAATACATCACAAAATGATTTTAAATAAGGTCATTTTCACTGCAAAATAACAAAATCTAAGTATTTTTGTCTACATTTGAAATAAGACAACGAACTTACAAGTACATTTTCAGCAAGATATAAGAGCTTGTTTTCGTCAATAATTCATTAATATTATTGAAAAACTATTCGTTCTACTGGCAAATTACTTCACTTGGAATAACTTGGTATAATACTTGGTAAGATTTTGTTTTTGCAGTGTTTTTACTCCGTACTCATATGCTTAAAGATGCAAAATACTATTTTGAAACTAATGTCATACATTTTGTTTATCAAAAGCAAGAGCCATACTAAATAGAGTTGTAAATGGCTCCTCTTTTATTAAGATTTAATGGAAATAAATTACAACTGCAGGGAGTGCAAACTTGCATTGCTTCACTAATTTCTGTTTCTCCCCTTCAGCCATTTAAGTGCTCAACATTTAGATTAAATCAACTTTTGTTGCAGAGTTTGTTTAGTGCATTTCCCTAAGGCCCAGTTTACAACTAATTAAGACGACGGGGTTCCTGCAGAGCTGGAGCCTGCAACCTCATCAGAGCCACACCAGGCTGGCGGCGCTCCAAGTGAGACACTTGGTGGCTCTTGGGGGCCCGGCTGCTAATCTATGTGTGTCATTTGCGGCTCCTCTCACTTAAATTAACAACTTTCGCTCTCGCACAAAGACATAGGCCTGAACTTGGTGCGAAAGGTACGTACACCCCCAAATTGCACCTATTATCAGCAGTAACTGTTGCTAGGATACAAAAAAAACAAGCCGTAGTTTGAACTCTTTTGTTTTGGGCCAAATTAAGATAATAAAAGCTGTTAAAATATGAATGAATTCTTAAAATTAAATAATATTTTTTTTTCTGTTCTTCCAGGATTTCATAAATTTTTTTTTTTTTGTGATTTTTTGCAATAAAAATCAAAGTGTTTGTGGTACCAATTTAGAAATATTTGCACTTATTTATGACAGTAAAGTCGACATTTAATTACATGCTGTATAGATCATGGACTATAATCTGAGACCAGTTAAGGCTGAAGAAGCTGTTCAGTACAAGTAAGAACGTTTCTGACAATTTTTAAGAAAAACCTGCAATAAACTCCTAATTATGTTTTAGCGCATTAAAAGTGTTGATTTTGTGTGAATTCTCAACAAACTGGAGGGACTGACTGCTCAGAGTTTCCTTTGAATCATAAGGCAACAATCACTGGAGCATTGACTAACATATCTGATGGTACTTGACAAAATGTGGTGACTGTATGATGTTTTTATGATGTAAAGCACTTTGAACTGCTTTGTCATTAAATAAATAAACTTGATTGATTGTTGCCGTTTCTTTCTCCATAGCTTTGCTAAAACTGACGGTGGAAGTTCTGGAAACTTGTGGAAAATGCTACAGATTTTACGAGACCTGAGGTGGATGTACTGTGGTAGGATGGTTTAATGTGACAACCTAAATCTGATGTGATGCGATATGATCAGTCGTGGCCATACCAATTTGAATCATTATACTGATATACATATACATGCACCTTGAAGGAACAAAAAAGCATCTCAGACATGCAAAAATATCCAAAACAGGATCAAAAATAGCCCGATTCTAGCAGGATGTCGAAGGGACAAAATGCTGAAAAGCAGTTAGCTGTGGTTTCAGATTTACAGCCAGCTTTCAGAAATAAATAAGGTTGATTTGAGGTGATTTGCTGGATGATTTTGGAATTAATCTTCTTGAAAGAAGGTCTGATGAGATTTCACATAATAAAACCCAATGAATCTGTCATAAGACTTACGGAGTCTCCAGACTGCAGATGATGTAAAAAGCCGTATAGGAATGCTGGTACACCTGCAAAGAAAAATACTTTGTTTAAACTCCTTTTCATTTACAAAAAGCATTTGTTTTTTGTTCCTCTGCTCAGTGAAATCACTAAAGTATTAAAAGTCCACAGAGGTTAAACTGGACAACAGTGTTTTCTTTGAGATTAAAGAAACCACAAACAGGATTAGCACATTAATAAATCCTTCAGAGAGACAGAGTTGTTAATGAATAATACAAAGAAACAAGCAATATCTAAGAAGCTTTTAAAACATTTGCATAAAACAGACACTTTTAAAATAATATTGATGTAAGCTCCAACTTGTTACTTCATTTTTTATTTATATAGAAAAACAGAGTAACTCCCGATCCGTCGAACATTCACGTTCAGACGCAGGAATTATTTATACGCAAATCCAATATAATTCACTCCTCTGGCAGATTTAGGTTTAAAATAACCAAGTTCACGTAGTTTCTTATAACTGGAAGTAAAGTTAATGGAACCTAAAATATCTGCAGCTCATATAGAAAAGATACATTTTCAAAATATCACCTTACAAATTATTTGAAACTTCACAGTTTAATTACTTTTTGAGAAAATCCCAGCCTAATTTCCAATTAGAAAGAGACATCTTAAATGAATGAAGTTGAATTTAAACCTAAATGAGGTATGAATAACTTTGGCCTTTACTGCACATTTAACTTTAAATGCACAAAAACCCACCACAGATTTTACCACAACACATCATGACAGACTATTTCCAACTCTTCCTGATTCAGTTTGACTGTGCACAATGTCCATTTGCCTTCTATCACATAACATCCCAATAAAGCTTGTGGTTTAAATGTAACAAAATTACATTTTTAAGGGTTGAAAGCCATTGTAAGTACCTGCAAACGTTAGCAACCAAAGTCGAATAGCTAAAATCCACAGATCTCATCTAAAAACTTTAGAGCAGACTATTATAACAGCTCACATACCAAATAAACCGTATTAATCATACCTACACAAAGTGGAAACTGTGTATCCATAGTCTGAGTCAGCAGTTCTTATCTACAGCCTAAAAAAGTCCTGAATTACATGCTAACTCAGGATTAGCTAATAGTACGTCAAATAGCACTGTCACTATTGATTTTGGTTTTCTTATAATTATTTTAGGAGAAAAAGCTCCAAACAGGCAAATTTCATGTAAATAATTTGGAGTGACGTTCCAAAGAAAAATCTGCTTACATTGAACTGTGAATTTACTGTAGTTCCTAAATAATTTCCACACCAGCATTGATAAAATGTTGCATAACTATACAGGTAAACTATCAATTGAACTGATTTTAATGAGGGTTGCATTGAATTAGTTCTAATAAGGATATTATGCAGATACTGTTCTTGTAGTTTTGGATATATTCATTAATTATCTACTAATCTGAGTTCACTTTCCGTAATAAAAACATTAACATTGTAATTTGGAAGAGTTACGCACGTCTTGCTATTCTCTCACGTTATTTGGTGCGCATTACATCCATCCTGCACGTTACAGAGAAATAAAGCACGGATATGTGACTGTGTGCCGCTTCAATGAGCATACAGGAGGAATGACTGTCATCTATCAAAGTGATGGGGAGTTCAGTTGGATAATAAATGCAAATACAAACACCACAACACCATCCAGTTTGTCATAATATTCTCTATTCATCTCAGGCAATAACAGCAGATTATATATCTGCAGGCATCTTTCAGAGCCTAACAGGAACAAACACTCTGGCTGCAGGAGAATAAAGCCAGAACGAAGGCGAACACCAGGTAAGCAGGTGAATGATTCAATATATCTGATGCAGCTATATTAGGAGGCGAAAGCGCTTTGATCCATATCATCCAGTGCAGTTGCGGGGCACTTTATTCAAGAACCTCACAGAAATGATATATTCCCAGCCAATACTTCCTGCTCTCGCCCGTCGATCTCATCTGCGGCTCTGTGAGCCCCGCGAGGCGTCGAGGGGGTTGTTTGTGTTTCTGCCTCCCTCGCCGCAGTTCCGCTCAGCTGTGCTCGCCCCTCCAAACCTGGCACCCCCCACCCCCCACTTCGCCTGTGTGCGCCAAGCCTTCACACCTCGCCATGATTACTTCCCCCCACCACCTTCTCTCCGCTCTCTCCTGACATATTTGGCTGTCAGTTTGCCAATTCAAAAAACAAGCAAACAAATGAGAAGCTCACCGGCGCGACGTTGTAGGCCAGCAGCACATGCTTCAAGTCCGGGGACACCTCATACCTGCTGGCTTTGTACATTTCCTGTGAATCAGACGTAGATTTCAGAACAGAAACACACATCGCTAACCATGCATGCTGTTTTTATTAAACCAGTCCTTAAAAGCTGTCTGACAGATTGTCTTGCTTCAGACGTAAATGGGGGTTGCATTAATCTTTGCACTTGCGCTTCGCCAGTATGATTGCTGATATAATGTTATTGCATCTCTATCTTGACGTCTGCCCACATATTCGAATCACATTTCACTAAAACATGATGCATGGTTTGATTAAATTTTCCAATAGAAGGAGCTGCAGGAGGTTGGATCTGCTGACCCAAAGAAGAAGAGCTAGGATTTAATTTAAGGCCTTCCACCGTCAGCAGAACTGTCTTGTCATTATTATGATAATACTGGAAAAAAGCAGAAAAAGGGTGACTTACAAATTTCTTGTTTTGGACCAAGACAGTTTGCTCGTCGGTGTCGACGTTGTACTTGACGACGTCGCCGTCTCGGTTGCGGTACAGCAACTCATTACCTGTGAAGAAGAGGAGACAGGGCGATGAGGAATGAGGGTAAAGTTATTAAAAACATTTAATCAAACGAGATAGTGGAGGAAAAGCTCAGTAAACCATCTTTTATTAAACAGCAAACAATTTTTCTCCCTTCACAAAGATATAGACACAAAAGTCAAGACTTTAGATTTATTATACATTAGGGCTGGACGATATGTCTGAAAAATGCATCAGTCAATATTGTTAATTATTAATCAGTTTTTGATTTAAATATTTGTAATACTGCCAAGCTGGTTTCAGCTTTCACTCCAGAATTTTTTTATTGTTTTTAAGCAGTTATGAGGCAGAGTGGCAGAACTTTAAACTGCTGCTGCACTAGTTACTCAACATGTTGTTGCTAGGTAACCACAGAATGAGTGAGTTGCTAGGTAACCAAAGAGTGACAGTTGGCTAATGCCACCAATGTGCAGTGGTGGTGCAGGGGTTGAGCACAGCCCACATATGGAGGCCTCAGTCCTAGACGTGGCTGTCGCAGGTTCGATTCCCGGCCTTGGCGACCTTTACTGCGTGTCTTCCCCTCTCTCATTGCCCACTTTCCTGTCAATTAACTATCAAATTTGGCCACTAGAGCCAAAAAAAATGCCACCAACCTTCCTTAACAAAATGTCTTGTACTTAGTAAAATAAGTATTTTTATTCCATATTAAGAAATTACTGACTAAAATCAAGCTCATACTGTATGTTGAAAAGTTACTTGTAAACTAGTTTTGTCTTATTCTAGAAAAAGACCAAAATTACTAAGATTTTGTGTGTTTTTTGCAGATTCAGTTTTCTCTTGTGACAGAAAGGCAAAGCACCGATTTCAAGCCACTAAAAGAAATCCTTGAGAGGAGCCATTATTTGACAGTTGTATGAACATTGGTGCAGCTCTTCATCCATCAGGCCTTTATCAGCGAAGGACACGTTTAATATGGCAACTGCCCCCTTTAACCTTCAATCTACCCCTGCTCCCGTGTCTTATTGCTCTTGTGATCCACAGAAACATGAACAACCACGCCATTTGGTGAGGTAATTAGAACCCAGAGATTGTTATGCGGAGTGCTTTCTATCTGCTAGCATATCTAATTGTCCATTAGGGGTGACAGAATTACCATCACAATGGCTTTAATGCAGAACGTGCTGGCGATAGCACTTTTAGACAGTTTTAGATCCGCACAACCAAACGTCCTCTCAACAGCTTTTGTCCCCTTGTTAAAAACACCTGGCAAACTAAACAAGGATGGAAAATGGACTCATTTATGTTCCCTCTACTGTGCAACACTATCCGCTTCCACGTATACCTGCAAATGGTCAGTTAATGTACTGAAATTGGGTGAAAAAGCGGCAAAATCAATAAAAGAAAATAAAAATGGGGGGAAAATGAAAATGCTTGGGAACTATTGATTTAAAGCTCTAAAATATTGAAAACATAATATATGAGGTCTTTTATCTGACAACATCATTATATCGTAGACCTAATGATGAAACATACGTCTCTTCATTTTAACAAAAAACAACAAACATTTGTGGAAAATGTCATTTTTTGTCATTTTATTGGCATGTGCTGAGTTTTTTTTTTTTTTTACTAAATATCAGAATAATAGGAAATATCTGGATACTTTAGAGTAAGAAATGTAGAATATTAGATTATATCAAGAACCAAGCAGCTCTCGTCTTCAGACTAAAAAGAAATTAGTTGTACTTTAATGATTTAGCTCTACTGCCAGAACCTTGGGGCTAGGATTAATGAAACCTAAAACGATACGCTCACAGAAGAATCGATTTGATTTACGGAGTTGAGTTGTGAATTAAAATCCAAACTTCTTGCCTTTTTCTGTGATCACACAACTTAAAACAAAGAAATTTGGAGAAAACATCTCAAATTCCCACCATCATTATCTAAAGATAAGCTCTCCCACTGAGCTGATCATTTTTGACCTCGTCGTCCCTCCTTCACCTTTTCAACTCTTTGTTTTCTCCCTTTTCAGATTCCCATGCAGTTTGAGGCATTGCATCTTCCCTTCGCCCTCTCTCTTCGTCTTTGTTCCCTTCTCTTCCACCTTCAGTCGCTGTGCATCAGCCCAGGGCGCTGTTTTCCACTCTGATCTATACCTTTCATAGCAGTATGTCTTATTAATTCAGCATCCTGCCCTGGGCGCAGCCCTTACCCACCCTCACGGCGGGGAGGCAGGGGGAAGATCCAGGCAGGGGGGTGGAGAAAAGGAGGCACACAGAGACTCACAAAGATAGGGTGGATAAAACAGGAAAGCTGGAATTTGTTAAGACTGGTTGTAGTGATGTAGCTCTGTAAAGGCACAGTTCAAAACTGATGATCCTGCCGTCCTAAAACAAGTGCATACGCTCAAAGGTTAACTGAGGCATCGTTGTGACCTGCCGATTCTTAACTTCACCAACTCAGACTGGTGACTGGTAAGTCAGAAATTTAGAAATCATAACTTTTACTCATTAGAAGCTTGATTCACCAAACAGTGGGCGATAAAACGGTACGGTTTTCCTTCAGAGGGAAACGTTCATATCAGTTTTCCAACTCCATATGAAGTCATGGAGTTGGAAAACTTCACTGTGTCTTATGGTCATTGGTCATCAGACACAATGACCAGTGAAATGACAGTGACCAGTTATTTGGTCATTGACCAATGACCAATGACCACATGCATTCAAAATGCACTGGAAAATGACCATTTCCAATAAAATGGTCATTGGTCATTGTGTCTGACCAATGAAATAAGCTTCATTTCATCAAATCTATGACATCTACTGCCTCTCTAACTCTATACTGCTGAAGATTAGGAAGTTAAACCTGCACTTTTTGTCATTTATGAGCCCAAGTCACATCTCGAGTCTTTAGTTTGCTTTAGTCTGTTGGCCCAGAAAGTCCGGCTCAACTCTGATGCAGACCAAAAAAGCAAACTCTGGCCTACAAACTGAGGTCTTGGGTTGCTTGAAGTGAACTCCGCTGCGGTACAAGGGTTCAAAATGCATATGTGAATGTCAAGCGGACCGGAGACCGCTCCAAAAGCAGGTAGCAGACTATAACACAGGGCATTCTGGGTAAAAACAACCACTCAGCAGGTTGCGTAAAGAGTTTGGAGTGTTTGACACAGTGCAACGTGAAAGCAAACCACGCCAGTTGAAAATGTAAGAAAAGTTGCAATTTTGGTCCCCAATCAAACCGAGTTTACCCGACTATCAAGTGTGAAAGAACTCTAATCTATCCAAGTCCAATCTGAAGTCATTCATTCATACATTCATTGAATCAGAGTCTCAAACTCAAGTTGCCATCTTTGGTTTAAGACGATCAAACAGATATGATGTGAGTAAAATTAAAACAGTTTTCAAATTCTGGAAACAAGGAAGTTCTTAAAACTAACCTGGCTCTGTCAAAAAAGACATTGGCTCCTAAAATTATACCTGGATGTGCCACCATTAGCAACAACTAAAATCAAGTGTTTGTGACAACAGGAAGTCTGTCTCTTACATTTCTCTTCAGTCACAGTTGAGTTTTCCAGCAAGAATGGTCAGTTAAAGGTTCTGGTCAGATGAGCCCAGACCAGAGCCTTTAATTTATATTGGTTTTGATTGTAGGTCGAGGTCCTGCTGTGCTTCGACTCTTTGTCCTGAATGACTTGAATGTTCTTGGCCAGACTTTCTCCTTCAGGATTTTCTGCTAGAGCAGAATTGATTGTTCTATTGACTACTGCTATTGACTACACTCTAAAAGTGAAACTGTTCTCTGTTTTGTTAGGTAAGCAGTCGTTTTGACCTTAGATCTCTACCATAGAGGCCATTTTGGCAGCGTCTCTTTCTTTTAGTTGAATTAATTAATGCAAGCGAGGCCTGCAGTGCTTTAGATGACAGTCTGAGTAATTTTGGGACTTCCTGGAGGTGTTATTGTGTTTTTGGGAATAATAGCTCAACTACTCATGGGGAGAAGTCATTTCTGAAGAGCAATTCTCTGTATGTTTCACTGCAGTCAGAAAGTACAAACAACGAATCCGTAATCATTCCTATACAGACTTTCTTTCACATTTATGTTTTTAATTAGATATGGGTTCTTCTGTCTACTCCATGTTGTCAGACAGATTTCAGTTTTGTAAGTGTTTGACCCAACAAGTCGGACAAAAGTCAGGTAGAGGGAGTGAAATTCACAATTGACTCATTATTTAACCAGTGGACAATGATGTTTTCTCATAGGACCAAATTGGTGTGGAGTTGTATTTATGTGGGTTATTGCTGTCTGAGGTTAAAAGTCATTTGAACGTCTGAAACATTTAATGGAACCAAAATGTCAAAGCGGCAGACACCTGGAAGGGAGAAAGACTTTCTTAAAGCTCCAAGTAAGTGTCACCTGAAGCTAAAATTTTAAATGTCCGACTTGGAATAATAAACTGGACTGTGGAAACAGACCTGTCAGAAACATCCCCCACCAATGGAAATGACAGAAATCTACAACAAAGAAACAGGCTGTTGGTGAATTACTACTTTAGGGTCCCTAATCCCAAAGCGTACCATCCACATAAACCACCATCATGTGATTACACAGTACTCTGATTGAAATAGCCAGTTTCTGTAAGCTGTGCCGTTAGCTGAGAGGTGAGCCGGGCCAGGGTGTTAAGTTCTGGATGAAATGAGATTTTTCTTGTCAGTTCCGGGTCATTTGTCCCTGCCCACAGCTGCGGATGATGGCCGGTTTGATGGAAGTGGCACAAGTTGTTGCCGAAGACGAATAGTTTCAGTCCCACAGTGCGGGAACGTTGCAGCCGCCGGCTTATATGGGCTGTGAAATATTGGTTCATAAAAATTTAAACTGCATTTTAATTAACAATCCACCTCTCGTATTAATAGTCATTTTCTTCCTCGTAAAAGGAAATTTCCTTTGCACATTTCCCAGTTGCAAAGCGCTACATGCTGCATCGTTGGAGCCTGGATTTCGTCTTCAACAGACCTGACAAATGAGCAGAATA